TAAAAGGAAAGTTTAATACTGGCCACCAACAGTCTTGCTGCCGTTATTAGGTGCAGAATCAAGTTAGTCTCTACCACTGTAAAGTCAGTACATATACCTAGTAAAAATAACTGAGGAAAAAACTTTAGATGTGATATGATATAGTATGATTGATATGAGATAGGGCAGGGCAGGATAGGATAGAATAGAATAGGATAGGATATACTGTATTATATATTTTGGGGTTTAAGTTTGAAACTCATTTAGTAGCCTTTAAAAATATTTTCTAATTGCCTTTTAGCAGTGATCTTTGGCCAACGCACCAGACTAGAACTGAAAGTATGAATGCTATATACAGTATGTTTGCACTTTGGTGCAATTTGGTCCAATGAAGCATATATTCCCTTAGTGTTGTTACAATGGCAATAGAAATGCATAAACATTCAGGCAAATTAAATCCAAAGGTTATTAAGCTATTGGCTTGTAGGCATTCCATTCCACTGAACACAGGCAATTAATAAAGAAGTGAGCTCTGTTGCCAAGTTCACTTCAGATCTGGTCTAAAGAAATTTGGAGTGTGGCTTCTGAGATATCAGCACATATTCACCCAGATGTCATTTTACCTATGAATAGCAATCATGAAATTCTATACTCAATAATCCCAAACTATTTTAATTTTATATCTGTTTCTGGCAAGAATGTTCTCTAGGAGAAAATTTAAGAATTAATTCATCATCGAGTTGATAATAAAAAAGAGGTTAGATATATAAATAATGCTGTATGCAAAAACATGCTTTCCTTTCTTCAAATCTATATTTCATAAAAATCGTGGAGAGTAAACTACATGTGTGAACTTTGAGTAGTTATTAACAACAAGCAGATTTAACAAATACTCTGCAGCAATTATTTTTGGAACAACAAAGTTTATTATGCAAGGCAAGAAGAACCACAGGTACTGCCATAGGTTGCACTGAATAGAAAGAAAAGTGTAGGGTGCTTCCTGTAGACCTAATATTGCAAGCTTCCCATAACTCTAAAATATTTCTTATTTATGATGTTCAGTGATTAGCCTCCAAAATAACTCCACTAAGAGGGGAAGGGTAAAGGGGAGGAAGGGGAAGGAGAGAAGGGAAAGGAGAGGAGGAAGGAAGGNTTGAGAAACACTGATCTAGAAGCTAAAGATACCAGAGCTGAGGATTACTAGTACAATACTCCCAGATCTGTGTCTCTTTCCTCAATAGGGTAGCATGTGAATTCTGCATTATCTCTGGCCCTCCATTAGCAATATCCTCCCAAGCCCACAGCTAAGTGCTATCCTAACTGACGTATTTGAGGGTACATTTTTTTTAATATGCGGAAAACGACAGACAGAAAGGGACAGAATTTCTGGGTTAGCATGGATTTTACTGCAGGCTTTCCAGGCAAGAAGTCAAGTCATTAATCTTGGTGGCCTGGAGCCGACCAGGTTCTTGCAATCACTCAAAACATGTTATATCGATATTTAGATATCTTTGTGGTTCCACCATATTGATGCATGGTTCGGTTTTGAAAACTTTGCACCCCATCTTATTTATTTATTTAGTTAAGCAATGGATATTATCATTTTTGAACACCAAATTATATAGCCGATTGTATCGAGCAACGATACATCTTGGAGAACAAGACACTGTGAAATTAAAGATCTTTTAGTTAGACACTCTAAAAGCGGGTGATTTCCGATTTTTTAAAAGTGTATGTTGTGAGCAAAACACATTTTAGTCGAGTTCAAAGCTCAGCCCCAGAAAACGTAGATCTCAATCTCCAAGTTCTTTGGAGCGCAACATGCCATTTCCTAGTGTTTGGCCGTTTTGAAGAAGCGTGGACTTCAACTCCCAGAATTCCCCAGCCAACATGCAGGATGGGGAACTCTGGGAAATGAAGTCCACACATCTTAAAATGGCTTAAGTTTGAACAAAGCGCAACTCTAGAACATTTGGTACTGTTTTCTTCCTCGCCTAGCTCCCCCCCTCCTTCCTCTTTTCCCCCGCCCGCACCATTCCCGCTCGCTC